TTGTTTGTTGTTCGTTGCGGAAGGAGGGGTGAGTTAGGCGGGATGGGTTTGGGGCGGCGCTGAACCGGCTTTCCATCAGTTGTCGCTTACCTGCTTCAAGTACTGGTGGAGGACGGGCTAGCAGCCCGCCAGACGCGGTTGTGCTGACATTTCCCATAAACCACAGCGAACAAAGCTGTATTGCAGTAAATATTTGTCAAGGTACATCAAAGTAAAGTGAAATTAATTTCTTTTTAGGACGGAGCTGTCCCCACTAGCTTCTTACTCGTCCTTTCAAATCTTGGTCGTTTACGATTCTGCAACATCCATAGTGGCGAGTGCCTGCACACCTTCCAATTACCTATTCGTCGCTTCAAGTTCAAGTAAGTCTAAAGATAGTTCAAAGTAGTTTAAGTAAGTTTTCCCTAAGCAATCCCGTACTCATAAGATGTTGCTATTTCTCACTGCTTCAGACATATTCATTGGAATAAAGCATTTTCTGAAGTGTGGCTGTTAGGTAGAGCCGTCCTACCAGGAAATGAGAATGGTTAGCATTTTGCTGTCGCTGAAATTCCCTTTTTGATAATAATTCAGTTTTTTTTCAGTGAATGAGTGGATCACAACACTCGTAAGAAAATGGTTTATAGCTTGGATCTTTGTAAACAGATTTGTTCTATTTGATAGCTATTATTTATCGTTTGCAGGATCTGAAAGAATTGGTCCAAGTCCATCGATAGCTGTTTTCGAGATTCAGCCACCACGTTTCAAAGCTCTTCTTCAATTGGATAAAAACGTGAGCTACCTGTTCACGTGTACTGTTTTTTTTTGTGGGGGTGGCTCTATAGGTCCGAACCGTGAAACTGCGTCCACAAAACCCAACGCGCGATGAGTGAGCTCTCCAGTAAAACTAAGTTTGAGGTTACCGTAATCCTCGTTGTTGCACGATTTCAACGGTATTACGTGAGTTAAGGGGTTGTGCGTAACCCCGGCCACATTGCTTCACAAAGGACGCCTAGCACCCGAACTTGAGCGCGTCCAAGCCGCATCACTCGCATCGGCTGGTATTCCTCGCTAGTTGACACTGTGAGGCCCTTTGGCGTCAAATCATGTAGGTTATGGTAGCATACGTACTGGGCCGTTTATTTCACGGTCTTGTCTCAAGTGCGGCAATAGACGATTCTCTGGAACAAGGTAGTGAAGTAAAGAGAGGAGGACGTTGTCTGCCATGGTCTGACTGCCCTGACATAATGTTACGTCAGGTGAACTAGCAAAGAAGGCTCGCTCGCAAGCTATGATTAGGCTGCGTTTATACTTTGCGGCAGCGTAGCGCAGCGTAGCGTAGCGCTTCCAGCGTACGCCAGCGGCAGTGCCGGGGAGAGGATGCATATCGATCTAGCGTTCCCAGCGTCACCAGCGTTTTGCTAGCGTTTGCAGCGGCAGGGGAGTAGAGACTATGTGGCCGTGAGAGACGCGGAATCGACGTGTATTGTAGAGACTATGTGGCCGTCAGAGACGCAGAATCGATGTGCATTGTAGAGACTATGTGGC